GGGCTTCTGCTAGTTTGCTAAGACATTCAAAACAGTTATATTCTTACAGAGAAAACATAAAGTATTGATTTTGCGAGTTTGGGTTGGCGCTTAATCATGAGATTGTATTTAATAGTATTTAAGGATGTAACAATTCTTACCCCTGGGATTCCAAACTCCACTAAGGCCAAACCTAAGACATCTTTCTGAATACGTCTAAAATTTTCCCTCCATCTTTCTGCAGCATCCTTGTCAGAACAGAGCCTGGGTTGGGACCGGGATGTTGAAAGGTTTGGGAACTACAAGCAGAGTCATGGGGCTCTCAGAGATGAGAGTAAGGGACAAATATCTATTTGTGAAGCTGTCCTATCTTTGGATTTCTGTTTTTGCTTATGCTCAGATTTGGTGAATATTGGGGTGGAAACTCTATTTTTGTAAAGTGGGCCCAGCTAGAGAGGGTTTTTCCTGCTATTTATCTATTCAATTTGGTTCATTGGGCCTGACTGTACAAATAACTTATTTTATTTGTTTTGACTGAGCTGGCTCTCCGAGTTATTGGAGTAAAGCTTTCATTTACAAATAACATAACCAATTCCAAACATATTGAAAGTGTTACCAAACACACTATCTTCATGTCTCAATGTATTTATATAAATGGTTTGCTTACTGGCCCCTACCTCTCTGTAGTGTCAGTTGTAAGGAAAAAAATAGTGTTTTTGGTGCCCAGTCACCTCATCTTAGTGTGTTCTGTAGGGTACGTCCAGGACACTTCTCTCAAACCTAGACTGTGGGAAAGGCCAGCCTTGGTTGCTAACTCAAAGTATTTGTTATCTGTAAATAAAGAACCCAATATAGCATTAAAAATGGTCGTATAGCATATCAATAATTACAAACAGTAAATGATGAAAAATTATTTTTATAGCCCAGGAATTGAAATTCTGTATCATTTTAAATTATTTTTATAACACCAGTAAGAATAACAGGTACCTTTTATAATAACAGGTACTTGTTCTATGTGACTCACTGTGCTAAGGGTGTTTCACATATTGTCTAATAAAATCCTCACAAAAAACCGAGGGGCAAGTCTACTATCTCTATCCTGCAATGAGGAGGCCATGTTGTGCAGAGACTGGCTAATTTGTTGAGAATTACTTAGTAAGAAAGTGCCAGAGCAGGGCGAAGTGCAGGGCTGTTGACCCTCGGAGCTCATGTCCTTAACTGCTCACTGCACCTTTCTTCCTTTCCCCTGCTGCTCTGGGAGGCCGACAGCACCAACCTTGGAACGACAAACCAGGGCTTAGGCTGAAGGGGTCTTGCTAACCTTGCATCTTGGTTTAAGGCTTTCCTGGGGGTTAGAAGAGGAAGAGGGAAAGAGGAAATAATGTAGTGTTCAAGACTAAAATTAAAAAATGTAAAAAGGGGGCAGCTCCTGTGGCTCAAAAGAGTAGGGCGCTGGCCCCATATACCAGAGGTGGTAGGTTCAAACCTGGCCCCAGTCAAAAACTGCAAAAAAAAAAAGCAAAAAGGTATACCATAAGAATAAACATAAAAGGAAATAATCTCAGGTGAGGGGAAATAATTAAACTACGTGGGTGGCAACTACCGGTATATTGGGGAATCTTTGTCTCATTCTTCCCCTGTTATTTATTTTATAGAAAGGATCACTGGTAAAAAGGAAGAGAAAAGTAGTATAGTCCTTTGTCGAATGTAATCTACTTTACACCTAGAAAATAAGCTGTATCTTTTAGAGCATACATCTTTTCAAAAACATCTAAGGCTTTCCACCACAAATAAAGTAAAATCCAAAGCCTACAAGGTTTGACAAGTTCTGTGCCTAAGTAACTTTCTTTCTCCTCCCCATTTTACTCTCCTCATCTGTGCTGTCCTTTGTGCTATCTGTGCTGTCCTTTGCTTTCCTCAAACACGCCAAAGCTGCCTCAGGGACTTTGCACTTGCAATTTCCTCTGCCTGGACACACTTTCCCCAGATATTCACATGGCCTCTCCTACTTCATTTGTCTCTGCTCGAACACACCACATTGAAGAGGGCTCCTGTGAACTACCATTTCCAGTATCACTCGCCGCCTAGGCCGGCTCTCCTGCCCACACGCACCCACCCATGCGTATCCACATAGTCACTCACACTTTGACACACTTGCATGTGCTGTCATGTACAGGCATATCCTCACACACCATGCTGATGTTCTTTATACTCTTTTTGGCTTTATTTTTCTAATAGTTGTCTACCAGTTGACATTTTATTTATTTTTTTATTGTCTTCTCCCCCCCCATTGGAAATAAATATCCATTAGACTCATGTAATCCCTGATATATCTCCAGTGTCTGAAATAGTACCCAGCTCTTAAGAAGGGCCTAATTAATTTTTTTCAATACATGAATAAATACTTTTAGGCTATTAAAATAAATCACTTAGAGGCTGGGCACTGTAGCTAAGTGGTTAGAGCACTGGCCCTGCACACCAGAGGTGGCGAGTTCGAGCCTTGCCTGGGCGTGCTTAATCAAAATAAATAAATAAAAATAAATAAATAAAATATCACTTCCATTCCTATGTGACTCAGTATATTTTAGTCAGCACATTCATGGAAAGAAAAATCAGAAAGGCACGAAGGCTGCACCTTCTAATATAGAACAGCTGTACTGATCCCAGGCGTTTTAAACCATGATGAACCCCATCTGTCCAGTGGCATGAAAAAGTCTCTAGTTCAGGTGAACGGCACTTGGTGAATTTAGGCTTCCCAGAAGAATCTAGAATAAAAAGAAAAGGCAAGGCATGAAATCAAGAAGGACATACGTGGTCCTAACAAAACACATATTTGGTGTATAAAGAAGAAACTATTAGGACGAAGCCAGCATATTCTGTAGGGTGATGCTAATGTCTTCCACAAGCGCATTCTTCTAGCGTGGCTTCAGAGCCTTTTGCTTGTCAGTGTCGGCCCTTGATTCTAGAAACAAACCATTTTGCCTTTATTTCAAGCATTATTTCTTAGGGCCTGTTTAAGAAACCAGAGCTGGAGATGAGGTTTGGGTACAGGTAGTTTATCTGGAAGGTGATCCTAAGATTAGAGGTGAGGGAGAGTGGAAAGGGAAAGGAGAGTGTGTGAGTGTGATTGAACTGGTTATCACAGTGGATAATTGGGGCCCACGCCCCAAGTCCCCTCCCTGAAGCTGTGTAGAGTGTGGTCATCATTGTTCTACAGGATGGGAGACTGTGACACTCATTGGCTGACTCTCAGCACTGACTGGTTGAGGGGTTCCACTGAGACATTAACTTCCATCTACTTCCAGGCTGTGCAGCATGCACGTGGCTGAGGGCCTTTGTCTAGGCAGGCATTTGAGTGTGGACATGGTTGTATGAACTGAGGGGATCTGGTGTGAAGATCCACAGCATCCACTATAGGGCTATTTTTCTTTTTATAGATTTTTGATAAAAAGTCACTTATGTTTGGATCCTTTCAAAAGATTCAGCAGGCAAACCTCTTAAATAGATTCCAAGACTAAACAACTTATGCATATAAATGTTTTAATTTTTATTTATGAAGTGGAGAATTTCTCTTAATGTGTTAGAATATTAGCCAAAATTGCTTTGCATCTATGAAATCTAAAGCTACACATGTGCAATGGGCAAATCTGAAGCAAAACCATTTTTGTAAATCAATTCTCTGACATCTGTGGCCATTTTGGAGACAGTCAGGCTTTTTTACTTTTTCTTTTCTTTTCTTCTTTCTTTCTTTCTTTTTTTTTGTGCTCCTTATGTGATTTGTTTTCAGTTCAGTCATGAACTTAATGTATTTGTTCTCCAACTTAACACTCTCATTCTTGGGCTTTAGGAAGGCTCTCAATCTTAAAATACTGGCGGCGCCTATGGCTCAAAGAAGTAGGGCACCGGCTCCATATGCTGGAGGTGGCAGGTTCAAACCTAGGCCAAAAAACTGCAAAATAAAAAAAATCTTAAAATATCTTTCTGAATACTTTAAAAGATATGTTAAAAATAAATAATATATATAAAAAACACGAACAAATTCCTGATTTCTAAATTCTAGGCTGGGACCCTGAATTCTGAATCCAAAATGTGCCTCTTTTTACCTTCAGCAACTCATAAAGCATGAGATTCTTGGTATAAACCTAAATAAATCCATCATTCAGACATTCATTCAACATACATTATTATTCTGTGCCAGGTCCTGTTCTAGGGAGAGAGCAATGAACAAACTGATATAAATCTTGGTCCTTGTTGAGTTTCCATTCTAGTAGGGGCTGGAGGAGGTGGAGATCTTATGTAGAAAAATAAGCAGGATAAGAAGAGATAATACAGCTAGAAAATAGAGGCTCACCCACACCCCTTTCACTAATACCCATATTAATGTAGTGAAGGAACTCAGGTTCGGGAAACGTGTCCTTATAGTCAGACTGCTTATAAGCTAGTGAATCTTTAGAAAATCTTGATTTGAAGACATGCCTTTATCTCTGGGAATACATATTGGGGGCAGCAAGATTATTTTCATAATAAAATTCCATGGTTATACCATTGTAAGAAATACTCCTTTTCCTGTACAAACTGAGAAATTTACATATGTTTGGGCATGGACAGGATGTGCCTTGGTACCAAAGGCAGATGGCAACCCTCTCAATGTGGTTGGCATTTACTAGCTCCTCCCAAAGCACTAAATTGTAGGAGGCTGCGTGATCTATTACAAGTGAGTACAGTGAGAAAGGTGTGTGTTTTGTTAGGCAAACACTTATCACACAGTAAAATACATTGGTAAAAGGTACTTTTCTATTAGCTGAAGCACTAAAAACACTATTTCAGGTACTTTTAGAAAATTAGTGATTATTAAAACATATTTTAAGCCACAACTATTTTAATGCCTTCAGGTTTGAGGGGAATATTTCACATTCTGACCATTTGCACAGAAGGTAAGAAAAAATGCACTAGATTAGAAATTAAGACATTTGGCATTCTAGTCTTGGCTCTGACGATATTTAATTTTGACCTTCCTCAGCCATTTGGCCTTCATTTTCTTCAAAAGAGAGCCTGGAAAAGATGAGATACAAGGTTCTATACAACTTTGCTTTTAAAATTAAGAGACATACATAACCATTAACAGTAATGTACAGAACAAAAGCATAATTTTGGCATTTGAGCTGAAACAACCAGAGAATGCCAAATGCAAAGGCCATTCAGGCTCCTATATTTCATGTATAATATGCCTGTCACATAATGGTAAGAATAACAAACCCAACTTCAAAAGTTGAAACAGAAAGAAAAATAAAACTTAGTCTACTGGGGGATAAAAAATTTTTTTGAAAAAAGAACTAATTTGAAACACATTTTGCACTTTTCTTCTCTCTTTCTTTTATACCTGGGTATATGCTGTTAAGCACAGCTCTTAAAGTTGCCCCAATGATTCCTGCCTTCTGTTACTTACAGCCTATGTATTTCCTTCCCTTGAGTAACTTGCATCTAACCAACAGAATATGACAGCATTGAGGGATATCACTCATGATTAGGTTACATAAAAAATAGAGACTTTTGTTTTCCTAGAAAACCCTGTTGCTGGTTTTGATGAAGTAACTTCCGTGTAGGTGAGAACCACATGGCAAATAACTGAGGGTGACCTCTGGCCAACAACCAGCAGAAAGTGGAAGCCTTCAGTCTAACAAACTTTGAGGAAATGAATCCTGTCAACAACTGTATAGATGAGCATGAAAGCTGATCTTTCCCCAGTTGAGTCTTCAGAGGAGACCACAGCCCTTGCTGACACTTTGGCTGCATGCCTGTGAGAAAGCGTGAAGCAGAGGTACATAATTTGGAGTAAGGGTGGAAATATTATTAACTATTTATGCAGAATAAATGAATCTAATATATCAGAACTTGAAAGCAGTGTTCAAGAACAACTCAAACCACTGTTCTTAGCAAATGAAATGTATCATGGTGAATGTGGGCAAGTGTGTAACTCCTCTTTTGGAGGTAGGAAGAGCTGTATTGTGGGAGGGTGCTGAGCTCCTCCTTATGTACTTCTGGCCCCAACTAGTGCCACTATGGCTGAAGATATCCAGTTTTCTAAAATCAAGATGCTTGGTGTCACCCTGACGTTTTCCAAGTCTAAGAGATACTGGCATAATCTTAAAGCAAGCACTTTTTTCACTATATATAAAAATACTATTAAAATCTTATTTTTCCATTTCACTGATAAGACAACAAATGGCTAGCATAGGCTCTTAGGTCCTCTCTGATGAACCATCAACAATAGTCATTTATGAACTAGTCATATTTCCTGCTCCATTATGATATTTTTAGATATTATATCATGTGAATATCTTACACATATTATCTCATTGAATGCTAACAACAACTTCAGAAGGTGGGGGTTATTTCCAGTTAGAAATGGGTAAAACTAAAGATTTAATGAATTTCCTACATTTATACTCCTATAGGTAGCAGAAACAGGATTAAAACACAAGTCTGTGTGATTTCAATCTAAGCTCTTCACACTAGTAAAATATTATATCTTTTTCGTTCAATAATCTTTCTTGGTATTTGAAAAATTCTCAGAAGGGAAATGATAAGGTCAGACATTCCCTTCATTCAACTCTCAGAAATCAGCAACCTGACAAGCCCTAAGAAAAGCAATTCCAGGGCGGAGCCAAGATGGCGAACTGCAGCCAGCTTTTTACAGAAGCTCCCGTCCAGAAGGAGGCTGAAAGGACAGAACC